AAATGTCATGGGGTATAATGAAAATAGTTGAAGCGTATATTTTCTGCCTTTGAAATGTGATTTCATGTTGGTTGCAGGTATACAAGCGCAGCTATGATATATGCATGCAGCTGTATCAAAAAGAACTTTTGACTGATAGTTCGTATCTCCACATATATGGGTATGGGTTTCCACTGACTAGTCAACTTAATATCCTTCAGATGATTTACTGCTAACAGCCATGATCCCTGCCCAAACTTTTATGTAGTTCTCCCAATTCCATTTTGTGTACTTTACCATTGTTTTTTTGTTCTTTTGCCTCGGCACTTATTCTATCCTCTTGAAATGCATGTGCAGGTTGCAAGGTGCTGGATTGAATGCTCAACAGCTTGCCATTGTTGCGGTAAGTAATTGTTTCTTTTTTCTTTATGTAATCACCATGTGACCTAGATTCATGATCTGATAACTATTTTCATTAACGAGTCATGCCATCAGTTTATGGGCTTTCACTACTCTGCATGCCACATGGGTGGCTCAAGGGGTTAGTTCATGTGGTGGGGTAGGAGAGCCCATTTCCTTCATGGAAACCATATTAAGATTAAACCCATGAGGGTGGCTCACACTGCATCCTGGGTCTCAGGTTCGAAACCCATTTCGCGTGCCCATATTTGAGATTAAACCATGATGTACTTGGAAGTGGGTTAGGAATGCAGGGCCCATTTCCTCTGGTCAAGTAGGTCAAGGTCTTGAACCTGGATTTTTTTTTAAAAAAAGAAATGAGCATTACCACTTACTGACATATCATTGCTAACCACTTGTGTTTGCTATGTTTTGTGGCTATAGGGGCTATGTGAGTGGAGGGATGCTATTGCCCGTGCAGAAGATGAAAGTACAGGCTATGTTTTGCCTAACCGTACACTGGTTGAAATTGGTATGCTCTACTCTATGCCCACCTTCACTTTCTGTCCTGTGTTTGTAGGTTCTAACTTATTTGATATTATTTTCTATGTTACAAAAGCTAAGCAGATGCCTCTCAATGCCAACAAATTACGGTGGCTTGTAAAATCAAAGCATCCATATGTAGAGCACAACCTTAGTGCAGTTGTCAGCGTCATTAGGCACTCTATCCAAAACTATGCTGCCTATGAAGCTGCTGCCAAACTGTTAAACGAAAGACGCATAGTAAGTTTTTGGTTTTCAAATATCCTCAACATTTAGTTCATGTTACTGCTGGTTTCCAAACATGCAGTTTCGTGGGATACATTTTTGGGTTGTTTGGTCGTGCATATGTTTCCTCTCTCTCTTTCTCTCTTTGTGTGTGTGCGTGGTCTATATATATGTGTGTGTGTGTGTGTGTGTGCGCGCGCGCGCGCGCGTGTGTCTACTCCTGTCTGAAATATCTTCCCAAATGCCCTTATTTAACATTTGATTACTCCAACTACCCTCACTTTATATATTATACCTCACCCACTTTCATTAAGGGTAATTTGGTAAACTCTTACCTTTTTCCACTTGAGAAGTCCTTTCCCAGAGGGAGGGAGTAATGGAGTATATATATAGGAACTTTTTTAGATTAAAATATAGGTGTTGGCCTTTCTTAGACCGAAAAAGAAAATGGCCTCACACTTTTGTGAGTTCAAACAATCTTTGTCTATTACCTCTCACTAGTACGATATGTACTGTCCATGTAGAATACAATAATGTTGAGTTTAGGAAGAATATTCTTTCACATAATGAAATGCTAACAAACTACTCTATTTGAGGTGAAATCAATAAACAATAGTTGATAGGCCAGAAGTTCCTTATGCATCTCCTATCAAGACATTAACATGCATGTGTACAGGCAATGGAAGAGAATGCTCTGGCCGCCACTGAAGAAGATGACGGTTTTACACCCGAATCTCCTGAACACTTGAAAATGGATGCAGAAGCAGAAGCTATTACCATTGGTAGTGAATCCTTGAATAATAATACATGTGGAAGTTCAGTGACCGAAAAACAACAGAAGAACAGTTCTTTAGAGCATGGGAACAGTATCACTAAAGTTAGCCCAACTTCCAAGGATAATAGGATTGTGGGTAACTGTGAGAATGAGAGTGTGGAAGTTGCTACATCCAAACAGGTCAGTCTTGATGGCAAGCATATTTATTGCCTTTTGGCTCTTTGCTTTTCTTTAATTGTTCCTTGCTAATCGGTTCTCTTGCTCAGGCAGAAGTAATTGTTCCTGCTCTAAGGAAGCCAAGCCGTGGTCTTGGGATGCTTCTTGGTGGCTCAGCTAAAAGGAAGTTGGACTCTGATAAAAGAGTATGTTCTGCCAAAAAACACAATGAATAATATCTGTTTAATTTCCTGATCGTATTTGTTTTCCTCGTAAGGTCCCGTTCGGCAAGGCAGAAAACACCTTCCATATTTTCTGCGTTTGTTTTGAGCATTTCTTTTTATTTTCTATTTACAATGTAGTAATTTCCTCGCTCTCCCTCTTGGTGACATGATTTACAAGGGTAAAGATGAAACAAAATTGGAGCAGATAAAGTCATCATTGAACCTTCCGCTCCCTACATTCACAGATAAGAACGAACCATCTCGACAGGCTTTGGAGGAAGAAGCCCCTGCTTTGCCTTCAGAAAGCTCACTTCACAAGGAACCTGTTTCCGAACCACCTGTTACCTCCAATCTGGGTGACATTATAGTTTTGGAAGATGACGATGATGACATGGCAGAACCAATGAACAACCACTCCGAAGAAGCAGCACCAGCAAAAAACAACTCCGAAGACGCTGCCAAATCTTCGCCACCAGTCACAACATATTTGGGAGACATTATAGTACTGGATGATGACAGCGATGATGGTGGCAGGAAGGGCAAAGAGCCAATGGATAGTGTCTCAGAAACTGCTCATAATGTTCAGCAAGCACCACCAGTAAACAGTGAGTTGGAGGATGACGACCCACCCGAAACACTTTCTGAACTCTCTTCCAGCTTCCAGAAGTGCTTCCAGTCCATGGAGGAGTCTAGGGCAGCCAAGTTAGCTGAGAAGTCCAAAGGCTGCGGTAGTGAACCGCGGTTTGAGCCATTCAACTACGAGGAGGCAAGGAAAGAAGTGATTTTTGGGGAAGAAGAGGGTAGTGGCAAGGCAGGTGGTGAAACCAGCAAGAGCAAGAAAAAGAGTGCCGGGTCGGTTGGCCCCTTCAACACTGAACTGGAAAATGAATTCCAGCAAGGGAAACGGCGCCAAGCTTTTCCTGCTTCTGGAAACCGCAGCTATACTTTCCATTGAAAAATCCCAGTGTGTAAGCTAATACTCTTCTTTTTTCGTCGAAAATTTGATGTTTTCTTGAATGTACGGAAGATGTTACTATGTGGGAGTGCTGTTTTCTTGTATGGGTTTTGTCTTTTGCTGAGTTTTGTTTGTGGCTTATAGTTTCTCTCTATCTCAACTTTTTGGCTACACAATTTTACTTAATCTTTGTGTCAATTTAAATGTGAATTTTTTTTTTTACGAGATGAAAAGAGTTTGTAAATTGTACTCGGAGTAAAAGAGAAAATGAGGATAAGAACACTTAAAACATGCGTTATGAGATGGATACTAAAATAAGAACTATGAGTTGGGATTGCCTATGAGAATTGTGCCTTCTACTCGTAGAGATTAAACATACAAAAAAATATATTCTTCCTTCCCAAATTAATTTTTGATTTATGATTTTTTGTTAAAGTTTTTTGTAGTTACTTATTGGAAAATTCGAGCAAAACAAAATTTATATATTTAAAATTGTGTACATCAAAAGTTCTATGAAACAAGATGTGACATCATATATTATTTTAAAAAATACGAAGAAAGTAGTAAAAATAAGTAATGAGGTGGGGTAAGACGTAGGAACTCTTACATTAGGCCGTGTTTTTTTTGGATGGGAAAAACAATTTTTTCTAGTTTTTTCTAACTCTTTTCATTTTCTTCCAACGACTTAAAAATATATCAAAATTTATAAGATTTCACCTCAAACATAACATAGATGAATTCTTTTTTTTATATATAAAAAATTGTACTCGTAGTTTTCTAACATATCTATTTAAGTGATTATTTAATTGAGTGATTTTGTAAAACTTTAGTTTTTCTAACATTTTCTAACTCCTTTCAATTTCTTCTAACATCTAATTCTGAAATCTCAAACCAAAATACTAGGATTTTATTAAAGATAGAGATAGAAGTACGAAGGGAAGGATATAGACCAAGAACTTAGGAATGAGATACATAAGAGAACTAACGGTCCGTTTGAAAATCAAGAAAATGGAATCTGGAGAGTGACTTGAAAAAATGTCCAATTCTTTTTATACCTAGAAGTTAAATTCCCCTCTCACTCTCTCTATCTCTATGTCTGGTAAAAATCTGGAAAATTTAGCACCAGACTTTGAAGGCCTCAATGGAAAACCAGGGAAAAAAAAAGGATCAGTTTGTATAATTGAAATCTGTCTTAAGAGCATCCATCAATAGATTACATAAACACACTCATCTTACTTTTACATGATCAAGAAGACATAACAAAAAACACTTGTTGTTTATAAGTGACCATGACGTACGAAGCGGAACGATGCATACCAAACACGTTTGATGAGAATCGTGATCATAAATGTGTGTCTTTAAGATCCAACAATTGCAAACTTGAACAATGGAACAATTTCTTGAACAAAACATTGAATCAGGCTCACATCAAGTGGCACACAGGTTGCGCAAAGACACCAAGCTATTGACATGAGGAGCCCAGAACAGACTGGCATGTCTCCTGGGAATGACTGGAAATGTGCAATGAATCTTCTCCAACCTGACATTGTAGACTATGATTCTTGGATCACACGACGATATCCTAAACACGATCAGCTCACTCTCTTTCAGCCATCCTATAGGCGTGAAACGAGATTGCAGACCGCGATGCCAGACTTGGATTGCACGACAGGACCCAGTAAATTAACATCGGACATCTTTGCCCATGTTGCAGTTTCCTGATCTGTCAACAACCAGAGTGCCCATACATATTCTTCTTTTCTTAACTGCCTAGCACTTCGCATCGTGCATGATAGCTGGTCTGACTATAGACCGGTACTGATAGAACTTCCCCTTCATCCTAGCTGAAATCTTCTTGTCGCATAAAACCACTGAAGCCAACCACTTGGCCCAAGCCGCTCCAATATGGTTTGCAACATTTCCATGTAACAGTTCACTAAAATAATTTGAGTTTTGTAATAAAAGAACAATTCACTGGTGAAATATGTATCCTAATGACCTAAGAAAATAATTAGAGTATTTACTATTGAGTAAATTCCATAATTGGTCCTTTATAACATGGGGGTTTCCCCATTTAGTCCTCTATTATCAAATATTACCCCAGTGGTCCTTCTTTTATGAGTATCTTTCCATAAATTGTCCTTTTTTGATCTTCAATCATGTTTGTGTTAATTTGAGGGCTAAAAGTGTAATTTCACAATGATAATATTTTCTTTTGTCATACACAATTCCAAAGGCTGCTCCGTTTGCGTCGTTTGTGAATTACAGTCGCTTTCTACTACAACCATAGTCTACAAATGTGATCTTTCGTCTGAATTTTAGCCCACAATCATAGTCATTATTTTTGTGTTATTCGCTTAACCAATATCAGAACACGTCACTAGACATAATGTTGATGTCAAATTATGCTTTTAGCCTTTAAAGTAACACCAACATGGCAGAAGATAAAAAAAAGACCATTTGTGGAAAAACACTCTTAAAAAAGGACTACGGGAGTAATATTTGATAATAGAGGACTAAGTATGGAAACCCCCTGTTATAAAAGACCAATTATGGAATTTGCTCTTTACTATTGGATAAAGATGTTAGGATACCTGAGTTCAATATGATTACCTCTCATTTAACCACATTCCACACATGCTTTAATATGGCACTACTAAAACTTTAAAGATAACGTTTATTTGACGAGGTTATCTGATAATATAACCTTACTCACATAACCAAGGTTATAAATGCTCGTGGTCCCATGTTTATCTTCGATTTTTACTATTTGACGCTGTTTAACTGTATCGTCTTTCATTACCTATTTTTGTCAATTCTTTGTTACAATAATATATTCATGTCACCTTATTTTGTAGAACTTTTGATATAGTTTTTAAATACATAAATTTTATTTTTTAATTTTACACCAATATTCAAATAAATAGAGTTGAAATTAACTTCGATCAGATAGCGTAAACCATAGAGTGAAACTTGAACCGGATGGCCCTTATCATATAGCATTTTCTGCCATTTCTCTGCAAATGGGGGCTGAACCAAAATTCACCCTGCATCCTTGACAGTTTTGTTAAAGTTGAAATGAACAATAGTAATATGCACAAATGCCTCCCTCAAACATAAAGTTACACATGGTATTCAACTACTAATATACCGACGACGAAATTGTCTAGCATCATACACTCGGTCTTGCACAAAGTAGTCTTTCATTAGACGATCATGAGCTTTCTGTCAGTTTCCTTTTTTTTTAGCGTTGCATAGTTTTCATGTTCAATCTCGTGTTGCGTCACTGTCACAACGCAATTCAGTAACATTTTGTCTTGTTCATCATCTGAGTGATATTGCTCCCTCAGGGTGGCTCTCGGTTGGGGCGTTTCATCAATAGGCTACACAAAATCCTTGAATTCAGGTAACATTTGTGATTCGTCGATTGAAAATGGTCTTACACCATTCCAAAAAAGGAAAAGAAAGATTTTTTTTTAATGGAAATATGTATTTGGAAGTTGTCTGGTTTAGTTTGTTAGCCAGCATGTGTTTCAGTGTTCTTCAATTCTATTTTAAGTCAACTTTCATTTATACAATTTGAAATGTAAACAAAACTTAACTAGACAGCACTAATTGTAACGTCTATTTGATCATTTCATGCACAAGAGAAATAGTCCAACATTTAACAAATTGAAAAAATGCAAATAGGATTCTGTCCTTTCTGATTAATTTGAACCCTCTTATGCAACTAAACTTTCAGCCTAACTCCAGATCATTAAATCTGCTTTACTCATTGAAAATCACAGCTGTTAAGGTAAGACTTTAAAATCTAGTGGGTATGTGATAGACATATTTTCTTGTGCAAAAACATTTATGTGCAGAGTGTCTGGCTCGCCACTCACATTCCCCAAGAATGTGTATGGCAAATAAACATGATACTGTACCAGCTATACATAAACTTGGATAATTGAGCACATTTAGAAATCTAACCACTCTAGAGCATTTCATACTCCAGCATCCAATCTGGTTCATCACTTTATTACCCATTTTAATTGAAAGCTAGGTTTCATAATAGCAGCAAAATCAGCATCAAACATATATCTTAGCAATATAGCCTACATGTAATATTCCCAAATGCTTCAATAAAGAATATCAAATTGTGGGTGTTTCACATTACAATCACTTTGAACAAGAGTGTAAATTGTAAGAGCACTGGTAATACCCTTCACGCCCACCGGCGTTACGGGGCGTTTAACGCCCCGGGGGCGTGAAACACCGCCCCCCGCCGGCGTGAAAAGGGCGTGAGGGCGCCTGTGTCAAACGAATGACGCGGCGTGAGGGCCGTTTTTTCTTCCCAA